GACAAAAATACTGAGGAAGATCATAATTTTTTGAAGTGCATGCAACATTTATGGCCATGACTTCATGAATTAAGACCTTCTGCTCTGATTTATGAGCTTTTTAAGGCCTTCATTTGTGAAAGTGTCAATTAAGACTTTTTAAGACCCGCAGAAACCCTGAAGATACGTCATTAATTGCTTTCATTGTCTGTACAGTAACTTTAAAGATGAAGATCGCTTTGCTGGTTTTGGTGCTTCTGGCGTTCGGACACTCGCTGCCTGTAAGTGTATTTGACAATTTTAGTTTCTTCCAGAAAATTATCTGTTAAATGAAGCACAGTTTAAAGTCTAATTCACTAACCTGAATGTGTCTGAATTAAATATGAAGTTTTGAAGTAGAAAAACTGAAGTAGTACATACTTGTCTCTTTGTTCTATCATTAATATTTGAGCGGTAAATCAGAACATGATGCTAAATAAACGTCACTGTTTTTGTCATGATACAAACAGATGCAGCGGAGGAGAGTAACGAGATCAGAGAGTTCAGAAGACAACGGGGTATGAAACACACACACAACACAATCTCACACACACACACACACTCACTCACTCACACACCACAATCTCACACACACACACACACACACTCACACTCACTCACTCACTCACTCACACACCACAATCTCACACACACAGATACACACACACAACACAATCTCACACACACACACTCACTCACTCACACTCACTCACTCACTCACTCACTCACTCAACAATCTCACACACACACACTCACTCACTCACTCACACTCACAACACAATCTCACACACACACACTCACACACACAAACAAACACACACTGGTTTCCATGTTTTATGGGGTCATTCCATACAAACTGTATCTTCTATCCCCTTACCCTAACCCTAACCATAAACCTACTCTTCACACAAAAGTTTCTGCAATTTTACATTTTCAAAAAACTTTCAAGGTGGATCTTGAACAAGGTCAAAAATTACTGGTAATACTATCCTTGTGGGGACATGTTGTCCCTGTAACATAGGGAATACCAGTACACACATACACACACACACTCACTCACACACACACCACAATCTCACTCACTCACACTCACTCACTCACTCACACTCACAACACAATCTCACACACACACACTCACACACACAAACAAACAAACAAACATACTCTCTCACACAACAAACAAACACACACACACACACTCACTCACTCACATACACACACAACACAATCTCACACACACACACTCATACAAACAAACACACTCACAAACACACACACACACACTCATGCACACACACACAACACAATCTCTCTCACACACATAGTCATACAAACAAACACAGAAACAAACACACACTCACTCACTCACAAACACACACTCATATGCAAACACACACACACACACACACACACACTCAAACACACACACACACATACACACTCACACTCAAACACACACACTCAAACACACACACATGCAAACAAACACAGACGAACACACTAATTTGACTATATTACTCAGAGCTCACCGTTTCCATATTATGATATATGATATGACCGAAACATTACCTGTAACACAAACCCTCGTCCAAACCCATCGACATTATTAGATTTTAATCAAAATGGCATGATTCGCCTTTCAAACAGAGACCGAAATAGTGAAGCTGTTCAACAGGTTTCACTTCATCAGCTTCTTCATCAGAAACCAAATCTGACTTTCTAATGCCTTTCAGAGCGACTGCGAGGAAAACGGCAGTGAAGAGAAGAAAGCAGAGGAGGAAGAGGAAGAGGAAGGAGGAGATGGAGACGAGGAAGAAGATGAGGAGGAGGAAGGGGGAGATGAAGAGGACGAGGAAGGAGGGGAAGAGAAAGGAGGAGATGGAGAGGGAGAAGAGGAAGGAGGCAAAGAAAATGAGGAGGAAGAAGATGGCAGTGAGGAAGGAGAAAGTAATGAAAGTGCCGCCGGTGATGAAGAGAGTGAAGACGAGCAGAACAATGAGGAGAACAACGGAGAGGAAGAACAACCGTCTGGGAAGATTTCCTCAGATCTGACAGACGTCAGTCGATCACGTGGAATATTCTGGAGTATTTTCATCTGAACGTCTGTGATGTGTTTATCTGCGCAGACAGTCAGACGAAAATAACTTAAATATTAATGCTATAATAGCATAATAATACCTCGGAGTTTAAAAACTAATGCCTCTCTCCCACAGGATGTGACATCATGATGGGCGGAGCTCTCGCCGGAGGACATCTGTGAAGATGATCATGATCGCTGATCCTGGAGTCAAAGAAGAAAATTAAAGCAAATTCATATTTAACTTACATGCAAATTCATATTTAAGAAATAATTCATACTCACGTCATGAATCTGAAGGTACCTAATGAATCAGATCGGGACACAAAACCACATTAACGTGGAAATAAGCAAACTATCAAGTGTAAATAAACGTTGCTTGCTATTTTAAATGTTATTATAGTTTATTATTGTTAAAAATGACATTTTAACATTTTTGTTTTAATTTAATTTAGTTTTATTTACCTTAGTTTGGTTATATTCCGTTTAAATTTTGTGTCATTTTAACATTTTAAGGGCTGCTAAATATCACAGATGTTGTTTTTTAAATGTATAAAGCACATTTTCCTAATTCATTGATCTGAACTCAATATTACACATGTAAAATCCCAATAAGTAGGCCTATATTATATATCAATAATATGTACATTCATGTAAATCCGAGGAACCGGCATTACCAGCGCTGGATTCCGTTTTTAATGTTACACAAGTGTATATAATCCTCAATTTCTATGTTATCGTTTTGAAAAACATCATTAATAAAGGTAAACTGTCGTGAAGTAAACGTCTCACCTCAGAAACCGTCCCGTCTTTTCCCGCGCGCTGCTCTGAAGTGAGTTCGCGCATGCGCCATGGAGTCTATTTTGAAAAAAAGCTATATTTAAGCATCTTATTGAAGTGTGACGAACTTCCTTGTATGTTATACCGCCACCTAGTGGCTTTCAATACACATATAAACATCCTCTAAGTGAAATGTCTGTCAATCTGTCAATGCGCCAGACTTCCGATTCATTAACCGTTATGTAAATAACTAGAAGAATAATAAAGTATTTGCGCTACAAACCAGCGTGTTTATAATTGCGAAAATACATTTAAATAATATAAAATAAATGGTAGTTTGCAACATAAGCCGTTTTGTACCGCTAAAACTGACCGGAAGCTGATGAAACCGGAAGTTTTAAAACATTCAAAATTCCCGCGCCCGCGCTTACGTTAAAAATATGGCGGATAGATTTACCTTTCAGGATGTTTTAAAAGCGTTTGAAAACTTAAAATAAAACTGAAATTGACACAAAAGAAAATTTTTTATTGAAGTGCACCATACAGCATGTGCTTAAATTCATAAGAATCTAATCAATATCTGATCGATACAGATGATAGTTACTCAACACCGTTTGACATCAGACAGGTAAAACGGCTCTATGACGTCACCGCCTGAGGTCATGTGACACCACAGAGTCGATTGATAGCAGATGCTGCTTCTTGATTGGTCGACAGTATGACTGTCATAATTATGAGAGACACTGCTCTCGATAATTACGGCTCACATTCATAAGAGTCTCATTATCACTTGGTAATAAAAAAAGAATCTCTTCTCAATCATAACTGTTAATTAACAATTAATTTACGAGGAGATAATATTCAGCGGAAAAGACAGAAAAGATGAAAGAGAAGTGTTGAGCAGATACAGTCAAACCAAAAATTATTCAGACGCCACAATTTTTAGATATTTTTTTAATAGTGGGTGCAGGACGCTATAGTTCATTTATGTAAGTGAGGATAGCAAAATAAAGTAAACTGTGAAATATTATACCCAAAAATTCTTCATACAGTGGACTAGCGGTGAACTAGGGGTGTGCGATATTGACAAACAATAATATCTCAATATTTTCTGCGAGTTTATCGATAACGATAATTAGACGATATTTTGCTGAGTGTGCTACTGTGCTGGTATCTTAAGGAGTGCCATGGACAGCTGACTCCTAAAGTTTTTGATATTCTTCATATTCTGTGCTGTGGTCAGTTCACACTGATATAAATTAATATTTTCCAATATGTTTAAATTGATTTTTTACCTTCTTTGGGCATTTTTACCTTTAAAAAGCCATTTTTCCGAAAAGTTATGTTTTGAGTCAAATTCTTACATTTAATCAGTGAATTAGCATAATAAGACATTTGGGCTGTTACCAAGCAAATGAAATCAGTATCAACAAAATTAATCCTTTGTAAATATTTACCGTATTGGCCCGAATATAAGACGACCCTGATTATAAGACAGATGTACCTTTTTGGAAAAAGGCTTTTTAAAAACCAAATCTTGTTTTTTCTCAGTAAAACACATTTTTATATTAAAACCGCCAGTAGGTGGCAGCAAGTCACTGTTAATAAGTGAGTCACTGCGATTGAACCGAATCATTTAAACGAGTGATTCATTCAGGAGCGAAACACCGTCATGTTGCTCAGAGACGCAGAACAGTGCTGTGGCTGTGTTTGGAATTATTTTTGTTGTCGAAATAGCGCAAAAACAGGCAATGTGGTTTCTATAACGCAAGTCTCCTAATTAACTTCTTGTTTATTGAACTGTTGTAAAAAATTACATTTGTAATCACAGTAACCTATGGAGAAAAAAACGGTACTCTTCGTGTGATATTGAAATGATATAAATATATACATTTTCTGTCCCCATATTTAGAATTTTGTGAACATTCTAAATGTATTTTAATAGACTGAACCATGCAGTGAAAGAACGCACTCTAAATGCGCACGCGTAATGTATGTGTGCGCTCTGTAGCAGTGTTTTGAATGGTTTTGAACAATTACGATATTATCGCAGAAGATATATATCGCACACCCCGGTTCAACCTAACTCATTACATACCTTTCTCTCAAAGTTATCTGACATTATCAAGATGAATTTGTTCTGACACAGTTCTTGTCATATTTTATTAACATTTTCTAAACTATAGCTATGATTAGCTATGATAGCTATAGCACTGTGATAATGTGAGAAATGCTGAAGCTGTCTGAATAAATTTTGGTTTGACTGTATGAAAACACACTCCATGTAATGGGATTCGAGTTGTTGCTGGATAAATAGACGCTGAAGGCCGTGTTTGGAGCTCTAGAGCGGGTTGTCGATGTTCCAGACGTCTCCGCTGAGTGCGTTCGCGGCGCCCTGAAGCGTCCAGGTGAAGAGCGCTAGCTGGCGGCGGAAACGAGCCTCGTCGAACAGGTGTGGCGCGGAGCGCAGGAGCGACAGGTGATCGGCCAGAGCGCTCAGGGTGTGATCGCCGCGGCCGTGAAACACGTGACGGAATGGCGTCTCCACCACCGACACGTACTGCGACAGGAAGTAGTACTCCACCTGCGCGCAACAAACACATGCAGGTGCAGCGTGAAGGTTTGATCATTCCGTCATCATTTACTCTCCCTCACGTCTAGCCAAGACTGTGTGACTTTCTTTCTTCAGCAGAACACAAAAGATCATTTGCAAGATGTCCAGAAGTGATCGGACGCTGTTTACGACTTTTTTACGACTCACAGATCCGCTTTCTTTCCCGTAATTTTGAATTCTGAGATGTTTACTCCCAATTGTGAGTTTATAATTCAAGATATAGTCATGCAATTTTGAGCACAAAATAGTTTAATTGTGTGTTTATAATACGATATAAACTCGCAATTCTGAGAACAAAAGTCTTATTGTGAGATTATAACTCGCAATTCTGAAAAAACACAGAATAAAAAATAATAAAAGTTAACTGCAACTTATCTCAAAATTCCAACTTTTCTTGCGATTCTGAATTCCGAGATGTTTACTCCCAATTGTGAGTTTATAATTCAAGATATAAACATGCAATTTTGAGAACTACAGTTTTATTGTGTTTATAATACGATATAAACTCGCAATTCTGAAAAAACAGAATTAAAAAAAATAAGTTAATTGCGACATCTCAAAATTCCAACTTTGCTTGCAGTTCTGATTTCCGAGATGTTTACTCCCAATTGCGAGTTTATAACTTAAGATATAAACTCGGAATTCTGGATAGATATAAGATATAATTCTGAGAAGACAATAAAAAATTTCGACCTTTTATCTCAAAATTCTGGGGGTTTTCCTCGCAATTCTGAGAAAGAAAATCAGAATTGAGAGACGTTGCGCAATTGTGAGACAAAGTCGCAATTTTGAAAATGCATGAAACAAAAAAATAAAAAGTAATTATGACTTCTACCTCACAATTCGGAATTCATATCTCACAATATGGACTTTTTTCAGAATGTTAACTCACAATAGCGAGTTTATAACTAAAAAATTTACTTGCAATTCTGAGAACAAGAGATACAAGAAAAAGCTAATTGGGAATCTCACAATTCTGACTTTTTCTCGTAATTGCAAGTTTATATTTACAATTCAGATTTTTCTCCTCACACTTCTGCAGAAAAAGTCAGAATTATGAGATACTGTGCAATTCCAAGACATAAACTCGCAATTCTGAGAAAAAAAAAAAAGTGTTATTGCAAGTTTATAACTCAATTCCAATTCTGCGAAGGTACAGAATAAAAAAAATTTACGTAATTGTAACAAGTCTAAATTTTGAGATAAAACCTCAAATCTGTGATTACAATAGTCAGCAATGAGATAAAAAGTTGCAATTATTAACTTTTATATTTTGTGGTGGAAATAAGCTTCCATAATATAGTGATGCACTGCAATTTCGGCAACTGAAAATATTCAGCCAAAACAGAAATGACATTTTGTAGGGCTAAAAATTGTATTGTTTTAGCTGCAAGTCATGTGACAACTAACCACCATACAAATGTGTTAAATTATTGAAATATTAACTGAAACTCTCCAGTAAATATTTCACATCTGAGGGGTTCGGATGAAAAAAAAAAAGGTTAGGAATCGCTGCATTATATGAAACACTCTGGACATCCTATAAAGTATCTCTGAGTTTGTAATGACATGAAGGTGAGTAAACAATTATTTTGTTACATTTTTCTGAATATTCCTTTATCTCAAGTTATAATGTACATGCATGCATTTGTTCACCCTCATAATGCGTGTGTTGTAGAGCCTGGCGAGTCTCTCGTCCTGAATGTCGCTGTTCTTTATGGCCTCGTGCAGGTTTTTGGAGGCTCTGCTGTAATCACCTCGAGCGCTGAAAACCCACTGCGGAGACAAACCACGCGACTGACAGAGACAGAGAGACCAATGAGACAATCAGTGCAAATACTGATGTTTACACTTCAGTGCTCATATACCAATCGTGTGTGTGCATGTGTGTGTGAGTCTCTGTGTGTGTGTGAGAGTGAGTGTGTCTCTGTGAGAGTGAGTGTGTTTCTGTGTGCGTGTGTGTCTGTGTGTGTGTGTGAGAGTCTGTGTGTGCGTCTGTGTGTGTGAGTAAATGTGTGTCTCTGTGTGTGTGTGTGTGTGTGAGTGTGAGTCTGTGTGTGTGTCTCTCTGTGAGTGAGTCTGTAGTCTGTGTGAGAGTGAGTGTGTCTCGGTGTGTGTGTGTGCGTGTGTGAGTCTCTGTGTGTGCGTGTGTGTGTGTGTGTGTGTGTGTGTGAGAGAGTGAGTGTGTCTGTGTGTGTGTATGTGTGTGTGTGTGTGAGTGTGTGTGTGTGTGAGAGTGT